ATATATATATATATATATATATATATATATATATGTATTTTATTTATATACACTATATGAAAGTGTGCTACAAAATAAAACCTTTACACAAAAATTTATCCCTCCCTTCTAAAGTATCCATCTTCAACTTATAGGTAACCTAGCACTTTATGACTTATAAAAGCAACAAATTTTATGAGCAGAGAACTATAACTTCTTGCAGGATAACACCGAAATGTTACACCAAAATTAATCCCTCTCCTCATAAGACTGTGAAAAATTCTTTTTAACATTATAAATATTACAGTGGGTTGAACTTAGTACCCAAACGACGTAATTAATCACTATGAAATTTGGTATACATATATGATGAAGAAAGACATAGGCTATTTTTTTATCCCGATAGGTGGACATATCTCAGTCGTTGTCGTGGTCCAACGTTAGTTCTTAAAAAAATAGATAATTTTGGTGACCAAGCGGCTTAACACGCTATATCTTCCGACAGTGACGAGTTCGATTTCCACATAATTCAATTATGAAAAAAGTATTTCAATATGTTTATCACTTATCTAGTATCCATAGTTCAGATGTCTAATTTTATTAGTACGAAGTTTTTCCAAGAGACTACAACACGGGGTTCTTAAAAAAGGGTAAAGAGTTTTTTTCTTTTTTTTATACAACTTAGAATGGCAAACAAACTGACGGCCCACCTGATGGAAAGTGGTAACCGTCGCCTATAGACATGAGCAGTAGCATGGACATAACAGAGTATACTGTTTCGCCCATGATACTCCCCATGCGTTGCCATTCCTGAGGACTCAGGTGTTATTCCTCTGTACCCTGTAAATACACAACCTGTACCTGTAAAACATAGCCATGCAAACAACTGCTTCACGGTTGAAACACGAATAGGACAAAGGTACCCAAGCAAACGACTTTTGTACAAAGTCTCCCTCTGTGAAGGGCTTGTTGGTCACTTTCGTGGTATAAAAAAAATAGTACGTCAGTTAAATTCTAAATGTTGCAGTCGCCTGTTGTAGGTACTTGTATCAGATCTGACTTTATGAATTTATTTTTTTATAATATAGATTTATTTAAATGTCTTATACATGTATGTGTGTACTATGAATTTTTTTTTATTTGTTTATAAATTAATATGCTCACGATTGTAATACGAAATAGGGTAGTCAGAGTAATTTGTCGACTGCTACCATAGCCATTAAAAATAGCTATTACCATAATATTCCATAAAATAATAAAGCGTTGAAAGGATATTAAAACAGTGTATATGAGACACTTCAACGTGTCCGTTACCTCCCAGCCTTCGTTATTACATGTAAATCATATTACAGTTAATTACGCGTAAGTACATCGTGTTATCTACACTTTTAATGAAATAAGATTGTATTGCACACCGAAAATACCGACTTAAATCACGGTAAAACCGTGTTTTTTTTTTAACTAAACTAGTAAACAGATTTTATTAAAACTTCTTTGGAGCTAATGAAAACAAGTAACTTCTTCTTCTTCTTCTTCAAGTAACTTCGTAAATTCTTACTTTCTTACTGAAAGTAAGAATATACTTTCTTTCGGGTAAAAAAAGAATTTTCCAAATCGGTTTATAGCTGGCGGAGTTATGAGGTGAAAAATTAAAAAATACTACTACCGAATTGTGAACCTCCTTTTTTGGAATTTGGTTGAAAACAAACGATGCGAGAACTGAACTTCTTAATTGGGCATTAAAAGTTATTGTGACTATAAGTCTATATATACACATAATAAAACTATAAATAAAAGATGTTCGTACATAGATGTTTTATTATTTAAAGATATACGAGCAGTCTTAAAAGCCATAAAACCAATTTTTTGGAATTTTTACCTGTCGCTATGTTTTTTTTTTATACAACTTACGAGTATAATGGCAAACAAGCTGACGGCCCACCTGATGGAAAGTGGTAACCGTCGCCTATAGACATGAGCAGTACCATGGGCATAATAGGGTATACTGTTTCACCAATGATATCCCCATGCGTTGCCATTGCTGAGGACTCAGATGTTATTCCTCTGTACCCTGTAAATTCACGCTATATCCCACCTTTCAAACCGAAACACAGCCATGCAAACACGTTATGTTTGAGGGACTACTATGAAATGTTTTCCGAAATTTAAGGGCCAAATGAAACACTAATTTGATGTTAAAATTACAAAATACATATCGTTTAAAAATGTCAAAATATCAATACTTATGGTAGGATTTATGACTAATAAAATATTAATCTGCATTTACTGGGCCGATTTCTGTATGAAAAAAAATACGAAATTGAGTCCGAAAATTCTAAATTTAATTTCATGATGTTTTCAGAGAGACACTGCTGTCCATTCCTCGTCCATTAAGTTCTTGATCTAAATCTTCTTTAATTAAATTCTTAATTGCCTCTTACAACACTCACGATAAAGGAAGGGGTGGCCCATTCTATGCCAGAAATATGCGATAAACTAAAAGGTATTTAGGATAAATTAATATGAGAGATCTTAATAAGATCGTACGAAGCCGCTAACAGAAACTAGTATTGTCTAAAAAAGATATTTTAACTTCAAAAGTGTATAAAACGGTATAACCATGCCTATCTCGGTTATTGCGTGTAGGTAAATCATATTACAGGAGTTAATGACGCGTTAGTAGACGGTGTTACATAAACAAGCATAAAAGTTGCTTTTACCCGCATCTCTGTACGCGTGAATTTTGGAAGTAGGAAACTTAATAAAAATAGTATGCCGTATGGTCACGGAATAGAATCACTTAGTAAAAAACTATAAGGAAAACTTAATACTCGTGGGATAGGCAGAAGTATGCTTCAAAAAAATATCACTAAAAGTCCAGCTGCCAAGTCCTTTATGAAATTTTAAAAAATATTTTCAAATCGGATACTTTATGTCATAAAATAGACTATAACTATGACTATATTTCATTTTCCTAGACCTCTCTTACCTCATATTCATAAAAACTAAAACCAACAAACCTGTTTTTACTATGACACTGTTTTTGTCACTTTCTTCTAAATTAGGAATTCAACACTAGAAAAAGAGACAGAACAGTTCAATAGTTAAAATGGGTTCGTTTTTACGAATAAAGTGGTTAGTAGATTTTTTTTGCAATGGATGATAATGAAATGGCAACCCCGCCTCACTTATCACCCCACTAGTGAGGGGTAATAAGTGAGGATGAAAGGGCAGGTCAGTTATCCTATCGTCATGAATACACTTGGAATTCAACAAGATAATTTCCAGGGGGGACCACGTGGAGGTCGACCTGATAGTATACATTGCTAGCAATGGGACTAATAGTCCGCATTACTAACAATCCCTTCCCCCCCGGGTTAGTAGTTTAGGTCGTTAACAATCAGAACAAACGGTTTTATAATTTAATAGTGTGTGACGTGGAAACGTCATCATACTAGAATATGTCGAGAGGATACGTCGACTGTCTAATAAGCGAATTCTAAATGAGTACCTAGAAATTATAATTGTGCTTGACTGAGCTGAGTAAGCAAATTATATCTATTTTCCAGTGGCTTGAGTCTCGTATAATTAAATTATGTGTAAACCAGATATTTTGATTTAAAATCTAAATTGCTTAAAGGATTTTGATAAAATTTCTACCGGACCAATCTATAAGGATATGCTTTCAGATAAAAGAATGAATTTTTGAAATTGGTTTACAACTGACGGATTTACTATGAGGTCATAAACATAGAAAAAAAAAGCACTACCAAAAATAGTACCAGAGGAAACTTTGTACAAAAGTCGTTTACTTGGGTACTCGTATTTCTGTCCCATTCGTGTTTCTACCGTAAAGCAGTTATGTTTGCATGGCTGTGTTTCGGTTTGAAGGGTGGGATATGGCAGTGAATTTACAAGGTACAGAAGAATAACACCTGAGTGACCAGGAATGTCAACGCACAGTAGAGGAATACTTAAAAAGAGATATGAATTGACTATATAAAAAATGATAGCTTTTTAATGAGGTTGACGTTAAGTAACCCCGCTTGCATGTATGAGTATTGGTAGCTATACTTTGGTCGGTCACCAGTGAGGGATGGAGGGATGGTAGGTGTGGATAAAGTTAGGTTAGTTGACCCCATATGATGGATTCACCAGAAATTAACCATGACAGTTCTCAGGAAGACCACGCGAAGGTCAACCTAACAGGATATTTTTCTAGCAATAGGGCTATTAGACTCCGTTACTATCAATCTCATTCCACCTAGAAGATATGATTAGAATGTAAGTAATTGCTGAAATAACTTCAAATAACGATGAATAGAAGAGTAAAGGTGATGAGTAAGATAATGAAAATGATAATAACGAGAATTAAAATCAAAAAGTTTTGCTATTAAGCAAAACCAATTATTTATTAACTTTTAGCTGCGACTTCATTCGTGTAAACAAGATATGTTCACTGACCGAAATAAAAAGTATCCTAAGTTCTTCTCCATTGTAGTATCATATACTATGTATGTATCAAATTTCATAGTGATTGGTTACGCCGTTTGAGTGCTAATAAGTATTTTATGCAACTTAGAATGTCAAACAAGCTGACGACCCACCTGATGGAAAATTGCAACCGTCATCTATCTATCTAGACATGAGCAGTACCATGAACATAATAAAGTATACTGTTTCGCCCATGATACTCCTCATGCATTGCCATACCTGAGTACTCAGGTGTTATTCCTATGTACACTACAAATTCACTGCCATATCCCACCCTTCAAACCGAAACACAGCCATGCAAATACAACTACTTCACGGATGAAATATGAATGGGACAGAGGTACCCAAACAAATGATTTTTGTACAAAGTCTCCCTCTGATAATTAAACAAATTCACTTTAACGAAGGACTTTTCATTAAAGTGAATTTCACTTTAACAATAATATACAAGATAGATTTAATACTAAGAGCATTCTCTCCAATAATAGTCTTGAAATGATAAATAATTTAATATCTGTTTTATATAGAACGCCGATGTACATGGAGAAGATTCCTCGGCCCTAGAAGTGGTACTCCGCAACATTCAGCTGCCTCCACTGAAACGGAACTACCACCAATTGATACTAGGGACCTATGGCTACAAGATTCGAGGTATTCAACTATTTTTAAAAATAAAAACACATTAGTTTTTAGTATGTCATACATGTTGACGGTTAACTGCTAAAAACTCCTATAATGTTGTAAAACATTTGATATACTTTGCACGCTTAAATAACTTGCCTTTATAATAATAAAAAAAAAACTGCTTGAAATGAATGCACACTTTTATTGGAGGACGCCATGACACTTACTTAATTACATTTTCCAATGTTGCCAACCTTAGGAACAATAATTTCCAATATACTACAATACTCTCCCTTTACAAGTTCAAACGTTGAGGTGCTCGAGAACGCCTCAATATTTGACTTGAATGAGAACTTTCAAAAGAATTACTAGCACAAGCTACTTCTTCATTTTGATTAGTAACAATTTTAGAGGCTATATTACTATTATTACAAATGTTACCTGTTACCTCTGAAACTGGATCAATTACAATTGTGTCTGAATTATCACTACCATTTTTATCATAATTATTGTAAATAGATTCATGAGAATCATTAATCACATTATCATTTAATATATTTTTACCAGTTTCACTTACATGTTCCTTCTGATTCTGAGACAAAGAACGTATTATTTGGTCCAAATGACGTTTCCAAATTAAATTCTCCTCTAAAACTTTACATAAATATGTTCTTTGACCCAAAACTTCATCAATTATACACTTAACAAATTTCTTCTTATTAGGATTTCTATAATCTCTACAATAAACATAATCTCCCTCTTTAAATTTTTCCTCTCTTTTCCCTACTGTTATTTTCTGGTTTATTTCCTTTTTAGTAGATAATAAATCTAATCTGGATCTAAGTTTTCTATTAAACATAGCTTCAGCTGGTGAAACATTAGTAAAACAATGTATTGAATTTCTATAATGAAAAAGATATCTACACATTAAAGTTTCAAAAGACACATTTCTATTCTTGACATCACTTAATGACTTGTAAAGAATTCTTAAAATACTGCATTTTCTGCAAAGCCATTAGTAGCTGGATGAAAGGGTGGTGATATGTTGAATCCCATTTTTAAAAAGAAATTCAGAAAATTCTTTAGAACAAAATGTAGCTGCATTATCTGTTACTGGTAAACCAAATCTACTAAAACATTCAAAATTTTTCTACAGTTGTATTACAATCTAAATTTTTCATAATAAATGCCTCTGGCCACTTAGTATAACAATCTACAATTAATAATATCATTTTACCCTTTATAGGTACAGCATGTACTCTTTCATATGGAAAATTAGTTCTAGGCCATGAAATAATTTTAGACTTTTGAGGTTCTGGTCTTGCAGACATACAAACTTGACAAGACTTAACAAAATTTTCAATACTATTATCTAAATTTGGAAACCAAAAATAAGACCTTGCATTGTTCTTCATTTTAACAATGCCCTCATGTGAAACAAATCCTTTAATAAATTATTCTGTAATTTCTTAGGTATTACTATGCGATATCCCCACATAATAACTCCACTCTCAATATATAATTCACTTTTACGTTAATAAATGTTTAAAAGCTTCATTTTTCATATGTTTAGGAAATCCATACCTTATCATGTTGTAAACACTACTTAAAATTGGATCCTTTCTAGTTTCAGAACGAATTAAATTTATATCTATAATATTCTGATCTTCAATAAAATTAATATAATCACATTCTTGATTATTACTGTTTAACACTGTTGACTGCAATGTCAATATTGACATACAATCAGCTTTAACATTTTCAATACCTTTAATATGTTTAAATGTATAATCAAAACTTGACAAATACAATGACCATCGTTGCAGACGCCCTGCTGCCATTTGTGGTAAGCTTTTATGTTCACCAAACAATGCCAATAATGGTTTATGATCAGATAATAATTCAAACTTTCTACCTATTAAATACTGATATAATTTCTGAACAATTTAAAGCTTCTTTATGAATCATGGAGTAACCTTTCTCCGCTTTAGTATAAACTCTGGAAATAAAACTGATGGGTCTTTCTGTCCCGTCTGGCAAAATATGACTTAAAACTGCTCCTATTCCATTTTGTGAAGCATCACAAGCTAAACGCAAAGGTCTCTACTATAATTAATTAACACATTATCTGAAATAATATCTTTCTTAATTGTATCAAAACTTTTTTGACATTCTTTTGTCCAATTAAATTTAATATTTTTCTGTAATAAATTATATATAGGCTTTAATTTAATAGATAAATTTTTGATGAATTTACCATAATAATTAACCATCCCTAACCATGGAAACATTTGTAGGTATTTTTTATAGAGTTCACTTTTGACATATCTTTAGATAATCCCTTTTCAGAAATAATATGACCTAAATATTTAATGTCCTTTTGAAAGAAAGTACATTTATCTTTATTGAGCCTAATACCTGCCTGCGTTTTAAAACGAAGGTGCTCAAGGTCATTATTTCCAGTGAGACTACATCATCAATGAAATTTACTACTCCTTTGAACAAAATCTTTTCATTTTGAAATAACTAGGCCATAGGGCAATCTATGTAATTTATATATACCTCTTGGTGTGGACCAAGCTAACAACTTGTGGCTTCGTTTAATATCAAATGATTAAAAGCATTTCTTAAATCAATCTACTGAACTTTTCACTTGTAAAGCTGTAAATATATCCTCAATTCTAGATGGTTTAAACTCTTTCAAATATTTATTAACAGTAATTTTATAATTAGCACATAACCTTAATTGACCATTCTCTTTGATAACTGGAACTAAAGGTGTACCCCAATCAGAATTATCCACCTTGGAAATAACGCCTTCTTTTCTAATTTTGTCAACTCCTGATCTACCTTTTCCTTAAATGAAAATGGAATGGGTCTATATCATAAAAATCGGCTTAGTGTTTTCAATTCTAGACAAATCTCTTCACCCTTAATAACACCTAATTCATTTTTAAAAACATCTGAATACTCTTGCAAAATGCTTTCTAAATTTGAAACGCTTACAGAATTCAAACCTATTAACTCTTTCATGTCCATATCAAAAAGATTCATTAAATCTCTACCAAATAAATTTCTACATCCATTTTCCACTACTAACAAAGAACAATGAACTTCTTTTCCATTTAATTTTAAATTAACTGAAATTTCACCACTTTGCTTTACCAATTGACCACTATATGTTTTTAATTCCAATGCAGTATGGTTTAATTTAACATTACAAAATTTTTCTTTATAAATCTTATAAGGAATGCAAGAAACAGTCGCTCCTGTATCCAATTCCATATCTAATGGTATTGAATTTACATAACATTTTATCATAAAAGAAGAAATATAATTAATGTGTGACTCATGTTTTACTGTAAATATATCCACTGAATTATTTTCAATATTTATATTATTTGTAGGCTTATTTTGACACACTAATGCTAAATATCCTATTTTATTACAAATTTTACATTTATAAGACTTGTATTTACATCTAGCAAATGAATGATTAGGTTTTCCACAATGAACACATTTTAAAATATTACCTTGGGGACTCTTGTCACATCCCTGTTTATTAAATGTTTTTATTTTTATCTGTGCACTAGATTGTTTACTATTAAATTTATTTGAAATTTTATTCACTGACACTAAATCACTTTGTTGAAATGATGATTCCTTATTTAAAGCTATCTCGAGTATCCTTTGTTACAGGCTCTTCACATAATCTATCTTGTACCGGCCCTGGTAACATTCCCGAATAAATTTGTCCTTGACATGTTTAGAAACCACTATGGAATCGTTTAAATCTTTATTCTTTTTCTGAAATGGGCAAGCTTTTTTAATTTTAAAACTTCTTCAATTTCTCTGTATGATTTTTCTTTCGGTAAAAATGGATGCACCATGCTAAAATTTTGCATCTTGTGAACCCGTCTGCATTTATTTGGTTTGCGTAAAATGCGATTTTCCATCATCTAAAGGGTTTAAAAGAAATATTTGACGCCATGTCTAATTTGTAACTATCTAAAAATAGCATTAAGTCGGTTGTAAAACATATATATACTTTGCATTTAATAACTTGCCTTTATAATAATAAAAAAAAACTGCGTGTCACGGTGACACTTTGTTGCCAACCTTAGGAACAATAATTTCCAATATACTACAACTAACATGAACGAAATTTTACAAGTACCAGTGAAAAGTTATTAATTTTTAATTTATTCCAAATACGACGTATTGAAAAAGTCGATTAATTCGTAATATATAAGCTTATTGTTAAAAAAGACAGGTTTGTATGCCATTTTATAAATGTCAGTAGGAGATATTGAGATTAATCGTCGTTATACAAACATAAAATAACTATTTTTCTTTATAAATACGTATATATGTTACTGCACATCAAATAAGGTCACGTACATTTTCATGGTAATAAAAGAGTTCAGATATGCTACAAATATTAATTACACAGGACGAAATCGAAATCGTGAAAAAACTTATATTTTTATTTTTTTTTTGACATTTTTTTATTTTTATTTTATTATAACTGAGCATTAAAAAATACATACAACTTCAAATTTTTACCCTTTTTTGATGACAATCGAATGTAATAATTGTAGTACAATAATATATATATATATTTTATTATAATAGAGAGAGGTAGAAAATATAATATATATATATATATATATATATATATATATATATATATATATATATATATATATATATATATTGTGTCGCCGTGTGGTCCCGGCATATATTGCTAGCAATGGGACTGTATAGACCAAAAGGATGCCCATTCTGTATATTTAAGCCTTTCCCAAACAAAAGTGGGTATCGTAAGATATGGAATCGTATCTTTTGTCTAAGAGAACTTAATATCTCTATTACACTATCCAACATATAGATATATATATATATATATATATAGAGAGAGAGAGAGAGAGAGAGAGAGGCGTGTAAGAGAACTTAATGATTGAGAGATTGGCAGCAGCATCCCTCTTAAAATGCCACCAAAGCCTAACTGCGGTTGCAAACCCCCC